TATATTGCAATTATATGCAATCGGTGAGCGAGCTGGCTATAACTGGCTATTCGTCAGACTGGAACAAACACAAATTCAAGCCCTTTGGTGATCTTTCGACACGAACGATCCAGTCTGTGCCATGGGTGGGCCTCGACTCAACCCATGGGGAGGACAACGACCAACGGACGGTGGATCAGGGCCCGTTTTTGAAGATCAAGCAGTACCAATACCAGGACCCCCAGGCCAGGGGTTTCTATTTATAGTTCCTTAGATGTGATTCGGGGATATTCGGGGTGTCCATTTCACCACCCCTTGTGGGTCCAGTTACTAGTTGCAATGTTATTGTTCTTGTGAACGAAGACCGTGAACGAAGACCGTGAACGAAGACCGCACCCGCTCCCCTCACAGCTGAACCGCCAACCGTTTCGGTCGCGGCGTTCGTTCTGCAGGTTCCGCCTGCCCAGGACCACCGACAGCTGCTGCCGTGCCTCGGAGTGCTGCCGTGCCATCAGCGCTGAAGAGCTGGTGCACCAAACAGGTCGGAGGGGGTGTTTCAGTCGCATCGCCCCGGAAGTGTTTTACGGAAGTGGGACGTGTTTCAGGAGAAAGTGTTCACAAGCGAAACCAAGTTGGTTGAGCTGTACAGCAAATCATATGTTCGAACGATGTGTTTGTGGTGCAGTCCCAGCAATCAGCTGCCAGCCTTCGGTGTCCGAGTTGCTTAAATGTGTGCCCGATGCACAACTGCAAACCACTATGTTGCTGACACCTGGCACAGCCCACAACCCTACACAGTTAAATAGTTAATATAGAATGAAGCACAAAAGCCGTGAGATAAAGATTTGGGCAACATATCCCCCTTGTTTGTAACTGTTTTTTTCCCGTGGTAAATCCCTTATAAAATGAATTGCTAAGCACGTTCTTATGTACAATGAAAAAGCATCACTGTTGTAAAATGACTGAGGCAGGATACAAGAATGTGTTGCTTGATTGAATGGCACATTATGATCAGATTTACAACATGAAAAACAAAGGACACAAAGATAAGGCAAATTGATATGTATAATTATGTATAGATGGATCTGGCCAGGATGACGAGTCCAGGATTGGCTCGCGCAACAGCTCTCTCTCTCTCCGGCGTCCGATGTATTCTCAACCTTTTGGTGTCCTAAACCGAGCGTGAACTTCATTGAACATCATGAGTTACCATTAAAGCTACTACTAACAAAGGGCATCTGTATATCTCGCGTTTCAGAAATGGACAAGTAAGGAGAATTCTGTCCATCATGTTTGAGCCACTTGAATTCAGTATATATATATATATATGGTCAGCGTGTCAGCCATGTACTGTTGGACAATGAATACTCCAGAACTGTATGTTTATAACATAATATCATGGGTGCCTTCTTTAAGGCAGGCGAGTTCTTTGCTATAAAACGAATCTACCAGGATCAAACAGGGTTTGATAAAGCCCCTCTGACCACCACAAACAACATTTTAGTTTGATGCGGCCAAGATCAACTGTTTATAGCTCTCATTAACATGTTGTAGTTATGTTGGAGAATCGTCTCAACATAGAACAATATGTCGCTTTATATGACATGACATGACCCCCGGTGCATGTTATAAGGGAGCAAACTAGGGGGATGGCAACAAACTTGTTTGCATATCTGCCCTTGGCCAAGTACTACTTCACGTAAATCCCCAGTCTGTCTTTGCAAGTGGCATAATGGCCAGGGCGCATCTGGCTGGGCCATTGTCTATCTGCGGGTCGATTTTTCATATTATCATTCATTACCCCAAAGGAGTGTTTAAAGGAACTTTGGATTCCTTCAAACTCCTTTTGGTGCTTGGGCAAAGGACTGCGGAGCCCGGCTCATCCACCTACCACAGTACTCGAAGCTGTTGAGAAGCAACTGCCTCCACTCTCCGTCCTAAAGGCATCAAGGACCTCAATCAAAGGACCTCAATCTCGCAGACAGGCCCATGCAATGCATGGCTCTCAGCCGATGTATCATTCACTCGGCCCCGAAAAATCGCTCCTGGGTCCAAAGCTCTTCCCGTCCACGTGATCTTCTCGGACCCATGGGGCAGTCATTGCAGCAGTGCACGGTGCCAAGGCCGGTGCGTAGGCGAAACCACCACTGGAACAGTGGCATCATTGCGATCGGCAAACTTCAAGTGCCGCACGGTGCAGTTCACATCAAACACAATCCAAAATCATCACACGTACTGTGTGTGATGTAATGTGATGTAATGTATATATATATATTCGGCATATGTATGTGATTGTATATGTACATGCAATCATGCAAATGAGCAGTCAACAATCCATCTCATTCATTCATTGAACCAAACAACACAAGCTGAATGAAATCCCCGGTGGATGGTGTGATCGCATCGCCCCACCCTGCTCCCACTGTCCTCCCCCGCGGGTTGAATACCGGGAGTCCCCGCCCACACCATGGCGATCACAGATTGGAAAGCACCGCGGAGCAGCAGGGAACCCTGCAGGGCACGGTTTCCAGATTGGTCTGCGGTGGGCGGTGTTGTTTCCTTGTTTTGGGGGGAACCGCTTTGGGGGGAGTCCGCGTTGATGCTCAAGGTCATGAACTTGACGCATTCTGCCAGCGTCATTCTCAATAAACCACTATATAGACCTGACATACCACAATTAACATACCGAACAATTGAACACAGGTTCCATTCTAGCGCCAAAAGCACCTGTTGTCTGTTGCCCAATGGCATGTGTATTTTATATGTGTTTTTTCTCGCAGTTGAAGGGAACCAAAAGTCCACATGGACATGGGATCTGCCAATTGATCCCATCTTTTGAGGGCTGACAAGGGGGATTGGGAACGTGCCAATGGCGCCCAAATCTCCGGCTGCTCATGTCTCTGTGCAATAAGAGAAACAACCCACATCCTGAAGTTCCCCCTCTCTTCAAGAGATACGCAGAATGATGGAACCAGGCACTTCGAACATTCCATGTGCTTTCCATCCTGGCATGGATGCTTCCCATCCTGCACCACCTGCATCAACACCCTAAGATTTCAATCCCATCCCCCGCTGGCCCTGCCCTCCCCACGCCATGAGTGGCGGTTCCCACCTGCGAGGAGCTTTGTTGATCCAAGGCCTAGCGAGGCGGGGAGTGTCTGGACCCGATCAGATTAGGGGTGGTTGATTTGGGGATCAATGTCGGTCAACATTCCACACTACATGGAGTGTCTGGCATTTGGGGAACCCTAAAATGAACCCGCGTTTGGGGGGAGAGCCTGTTGGCTGGTTGGCTGGCAGGTGGATTCAAACCCTGCGGGCAACATACATCTGGGGAGCTGATGTGAGCTGTCGGGGCGATGTCGGGCGGATCGTGGCCTGTTGTGCGCGTTACTTTTGGATCTGAAACATGGAGGTGCCAAGATCGGTCTCGAACAGCACCATAAATGGTCATCAATCTGCCCCAGCTGCCTGCTACTACCAGATACTATGGGGACAGGCGTATGCACACTTCTATAATCAATCCTTGACAACCTTTACATCGCAATTATTTATTGGCACGCACATGTGGATTTGGCAGTACGGACAGGTTGAGCATGAGCTGGCTGAGGCAATGCACCGATTCTTCGTTTCTTTCACAACCGTTTCTTTCGCACGGTATGAAACCGAGGTCAAGCGTTATCAACATGATGTCAATCCATTTGTTTATTGATTATTGAAACAATGCGATGATACCCAATATCAAGGCTGCACGCTTCCTATGTGGCAACCCTTGAAACCCACATTTCTCGTAACCCACCGTAACTTTCTTCTGCTAATAATATTGCAAAAAATTACCGTATTTCTTTGGAGCAAACCGGTTTGGACCAAACAAGGCTATTCACTTGATGTTTCTTATTGGGTATACCCTGTAATATAGACAAATCTGAATTTTCACTTGTGCAGCAGCGGGCAGAATAGGACATTTCAAGAGCTTATCCCCAAACGACGTTTCAAAGGCTCCGTTTGGCCTCACGTTCCCTTCCAAGAGGGCTACTTGGTGCATCTCCCTGAGCATCCCTGAGCCTATGATTCCGTGCGTGGCGGGCTGTGCTGCAGTCTCTCTCATGAATAACATCTCCAGGACTGAAGAGGGTTTATTCATCAACAGGCTACATGGTGCCATGGTGTGGGGTCATTTTCTTACGCTCGTCTCGTCTCGTCTCTGCGCTCCAGCGCCTCTGCAAAGCGTCTGAACATGGCCTGTAAATTCTTGTCTGCGACCGCACGTCGCATCCAATCCTGCGGATCGCAGTAGCAGAAAACGGCGAAACGCCGCGTCACCCTTGTCCGGCCCAGGATGGTGCATCAGAGCACCTCCACACTCGTTGCGCCACGAATCCTACGAAAGGAAAGGCTTCCGAGCTTATACTGCATGGTTGATGCGTGCTTCCAAAAACACTTCTATACCATGTAAAACATCATTCTAACTGAACACTTACCATGTCATAAAACACTACCGTATGGTTGACCCATCCAATCCCAACGGATCGGCTTCCAGTCTCCCGGTGCTCCTCCTCGCCCGTCCACCGGCGATCGACGCGATCCTCGGTGTGCGCAGGATCGAGCTGATTCGAATGGTTCACAAGGGAAAAAAACGGGGTGTGCGGACCCTTTCTTGACGGTTTTGGGCTTGGGCTCGCTGTTTTTCCCTGTGACAGGCTTGGGTCTTTGATGGTTTTTTGTTTTTGAATTCGCAGTTCAGTGGTTTTGGTCTTTGATGGTTTTTATTGTTTTTGAATTCGCAGTTCAGTGGCTTTGGCCATGCTTTTTGGCTGAACTAGCTCCCATCGTCCATTCTCATACCCATGAAGTTATATATACCCATGAATAGTTGCCGTTTCAGTCAGCAAACATGTTATGTCAGTTGGGAAGCAAAAGGTTGGTCTGTCAGTTCAGGTCTGGCCCATCTGCACTTCTGTTTTTGTGCACTTTCTGGGCTCCCTGTTAAATTCTGCTGCCTCAGGTGCACCTTTTTAAAGCTAATCAGTTCTGATTTCGACTGCAAATTCATCGTCACTACATTGAATACGTACGTGCACATCAGGCTCATCCAGTTGCACGTAGCCTGATACACTGTTCATTGACCCAATCGATGCAGCTAAACTTGCATCAGCCTTCTCTGCCACCTGATCTGAGTGAAACATGTCACACGAAGCGCCCGGCTCTTGCATGGCGACGCTCGGTGATGCCAACTCCTGGCCAGCTGCGTCGCAGGAGTCAGCCCATGAGTTCAATTGCCCGGTTCTTTCGGGGGACAGAATGGAACTAGCATGCTGTTGCCAACCGATCGACCACTCCAACTGAGTTCGCGTTCTCGACTTCAGACTTTTGTGATCTTTTGTGTCTAAATTTAAAGGAGAACGACTTTACCGGAATGGACTGTTCCCGTTTATATAGTACAAACCTCCTCTTGAACCACACACGAATATCATGATGACAGGGTTGCGGGCCTTCCTCATGGAGGAAGGAACTGAGACGTAGATAGCCAGCACTTTCCGTTCATTTGCCACTTTTACTTTCCACTGTACATGTAGTTTTCGGCACGTCTTTTGTTGGACACCCCCCTACTGGAATCACCACCAATCGTGCAACTCAGCACTGGCACGCCACATTTACACACCATGAATGCACTCTCCGGCCTCGCCAAACAGTGATATGGCCTTTGAACATCGTTACGGTAGGCTGATGGAAACCGTGCAAGCTAAAAAATATCGGATATTCTTACCCAACGTGTTCTGCAAACGAAAAAGGAAGACCCTTCGATTTGAACACACTTGAAAGGTTTTTTTCAACTTTTGATATGCGTTTAAATACACTTAAGATACAAAAAAATAACATATAACTGTCATGAACTGTCCAATAATTACTATGGATTCCTATGTTGATTGTTCGATTTTGAAGCTCTTCCCAGGTTACAGTCTGTGGGGGTCCCCCAATTTTGGGGGACGCATCCTAATGTTACAAAACTCTACCAAGGTGTTGACCTTAATATATATATATATATATGCATGGGTATATAAAAGGATTGGATGTAATCAACAGGTAAATCAGTTCTCTTCGGATGACCGGCCCAAAAAGGCTGCCGGGTTCCATGTTGACCCAAACGCTTCGTTTGGAAAGGCAGGTCTCCTCGACCGCTTCGGGTAGTTCCGCCTCCAGTGCTGGTAGCACTTCCAGGGTCGGGCTCGCAGGGCCCGCGGGTGCGAGCCCGACCACCGCTACCTGGGCGCTTCCCGCCACCAGGCCCGTCTCGATATCGGGCAGCGAGACCACCTGGGCTGCAACGTGCCATATGTCCCTTTTTCTGCGTTTCTGGTGTCCAAAACATGTTCTAAGGGTGATATTTTAGTGATTCAGTCAATGCCAATCTCCCTTCAGAACTGTCAGTCCGAAATTATCATGAATCAATCGTTTTCGTCACTTAGGGCTCAAATGGGCCCAGCATGGCCCGGCCCAGGCCACCTGTACTAGGGCCATGCTTCAGATACATGCGCAGCGAAAGTCACAATAGGATGTCTGGAATAAACGTCTTTTCCCGTACAGGCAAGCTCCCTGAATGGTTTTTGCAAATGAAACAATGCAAACCATCCAAGTGTTTCTTTCTTGTTCGACACTCACAAACTCATGCCGTTCCACTCAATGTGCGAGTTGAGTTCTTGACAACACCGTCTGACCCGAGGTGGAGGGAGAACTCATCACTCAGTGTGCGCTCTTAAATTCCATAAAAGGACACCCTTAACACATGCTGGTGACCCATTGAAAGCATCTGAAAGGGCGGTTCAAGGTTTACTAAGAATGGATCATGTGAGTTTTAACACCCAGCATTTAAATGGCTAAGCTAGAGCCACTCCAGTGATTCACTTTCTTGGCATTCATGGCCACCCATCACCATGGCCCAGCTGCACTGGGCGAGGGCGAAATGCTGGAGCGGCCGCGGCTTCCACGGCGGCTGCCGCGGCTTCCGCCCTCGCGGTTCGCTTGGGCCCCAGTGTCACGCTCCCGGCTCTCCTGGACAATAGGATCAAGCGCGTAGGGCGGAGCATTGGAACATTTTCAACCTTGAACATCCAAGGCCAATCATACACTTGTGGGGAATCGTGCGAAACTTCAAGATCAAAGCCACTCATTGCATCGCAGTCCTCTGGTTTCCGCCGCTCCAGGCTCGGCAAGAGCGGCGGCCGTGCGCGGTTCGGCGGCGCGGACGCGCTGGAACGGCCGCGTGGGTCGCCGTCTTTTGCATCCTCCACGGTCTCGGCTGGCAAGCCTTCAGCATACCTAAGTCTTGCTGTGGACCCTACCGGGCTCTGAGAGCAAAAGTTGAAGAATTATACTTTTCTATCTATTCGGAGGTCTGTATTATGTGTCTGTGTTGGGAACGCACGACTGAGCTTCACGGTGAGGGCGGTTGTTGGGGTGGGGCGGCCGGCCTGTCCATCGTTCCGCCGTGTCCACCTCGCACGGCTGAATCTCGGGACCTTCTGAGAAGGTTATTTGGAGACACTCCCAAGTACCTTCTGAGGAGGTATGTTTTTTGCCCACCTGTCAGGTGAACCGCGAGCCTCGGCTGGTAGTGTTCCCCGCCGGACCTCAACTGCAAGGGTTGTACCAGAAACGCGAGTCAAAAGATATATTCCAGATAGAACGCCAGAAAGAATGTCAGAAGATATGCCAGCAAAGCTGCCAACAGATATGCAAAGAATGAATGTCAGAAGAGATGCCAGAAAGACTGTCAAAAGATATACCGGAAATAATGTTGGAAATAATGTCAAAAGATACGCGAGAGAATGTCAGAAGATATGCCAGAAACATGTCAGAAGTAATGTCAGAAAGAATGCCCAAAATAATGTTTCAATACATGCCATAAATTTTGTCAGATTGACATGTCATGGTGGGGATCACTCGAAGTAGAGTAATTTTTGATAAGGAAGTGCAGTCATCAAGCGAGTGTGCCCAAAAACTCCATGTATGGCATGTTTAGGACCAGGATGGTTCCAGGGATCTATTGTCTGGGCATGGCGGCCTGATTGAGAAGAAACTCTTTAGCAAGAGAGTTCCCAACAATTAGTTCCCAAATCTTCCATCTCGGATGATTAAGCCTGATTTTGCCCTACCTTTCATGCCTCTTTTGCTTCACTCCTCACCGGATATCCGTTGTTTTCTGGCACTCCCTGTCCCGAAGCGCCCACGCTTCCCCGCCGGAACCCGCCCGTGCCGTGCCGCGCCTGCGGAGCTTCTCCTGTTCCGCCTGTCGGCGCTGCGAGGCGGCGCGGCGTTGCTGCTGCGTCAAGGGCGCAGGGCACTCGTGGGACTTCCTGGAGCGACGGAGGACTGCCTCATGTCCAATTGAGAAAAAAGACCAGGTTAGCCTGGGAGGCCCGGTGAGATAGAGGTGGGAAGACCGCTAGATGCAGATTTCACATCAGTATATATATACCAGCTGCTTTCGTTTCGGGGTTACCTGGCTGGACAACCCTACACTGCTTATAGGTCACCATTGGACACCCATTGGAAGCGCTAGGTATTGTTGCCAGTATGGAATGGCCTCCGCCCTAGTATGGAATGGCCTAGTAGCATCCTTGCTTGCTACTGGCCCAACAGCCAACACCAAGCATTTCTTTAGGGCTTCTGGCCCATTTCCTCAGGTAGTTCGACCCCTTCGAGACCTGAGGTAGTTGGAGCCCTGTAGGATTTATTAGTCCAGGTCATGTAGACTGATGACTGATCAACCCCGACATAAATGCAAAGGTTGTTCAATCCAAATGAGGGTGGTGATTAATCAAGAGTCTTCGTTGGGCATGGTAGGCAAAGGACTGACCATCACATAATTAGACATATATATATATATACCTACTGAACCTTGTACCCACAAATTTGTGGGTTGAGAAATCAAAACCCATCTTTTTCCATGATGATATGGAAATACCAGGTATTTTGAAAAAAACTATGTTTTTGTCAAGGACCAGATTCCAATGACTTTATAACGTTTCAAGATGGCATTGACTTGGGAACCATCCATTGGAGTGTGGCTTGATAGCCTGGATGTTGGCCTGGTTCAGGGCTCAAAGAAGTCCATGATGTGAAGTGGACGGCATTCGAACCCCGATGAACCGGGCAACAAACAGATAACTTGAATGCATGTTTCAAAATCCTCCCAAAGTGAGATGTTGCCCTTTAGGATGTGCATGGATGGGCAAAGAAAGTGCTCCTATGGGGTCATGGTTCACAAGTGTTTGTACCCAACCACCTGTTGGATCCTGTCCGCGCCTGTCCGTGCATGTCACCACGGGAACCTGATCTACCTGATCCAGACACTCTGAGCCCGGGCCCTCATTTTGTCCGCTGGGCTGGCGCGTATGAAGTTGGCTGCTTTGCCTGGGCTCAATGAATCAGTTTTTCTCTATGGTTCATGGGGTTCTTTGTTACAAACCTTGGTTGAATCCATGTCTCACCTTAGGAATCATGGATCATGATGTCTGTGTGGGAGCGGCATGGGCTTGAACACAATCTATTTCTAGAAGCCATTCTGGTCAAAGTCTCCCTGCACCCTCTTGTGAAGTGTTTTGTGGGCGGCAATGGATTGTTGTGGGCTCTGTCGTGAATGGGAGGAAGATCCCCAAGTCCGTGATCGTGTACGTGTAACAAATGCACTCTTGGAGAAACAGAGTGGAGAGACCTTTTGTGTCCCTTCCCGGGTGAATGCGGTTGCCAACAGTGCTGTTCTTCGTCCGGTCTTGGTCCGCCTAGCTGACACTGAGAAGAATGCCCTTCCACATTTGGAAGGCCTGCAAATGGAACTGCGGGCCTTGTTTGAGAAGTGTGGCATGAATCCCGGAGATGATCTTGTCTACAAAAGCAGTGTTGAATTGAAGCGCTTGGCTGGTTTTGTGAAGCGGCGCTGCAAGAGACGTGAAGTCACGAAGGAAAAGGGTTAGAGTCTGACAATGTCACTACTAAATTGGGGTGCGTGTTCACAATGGTGCCACATCATCAGTGGTTTCAATACCAAAACATGAAAATAATTAATGGTTTTAACACAGCACGGCACTCAAAGTTGACAGGGGTTCTGCTGGTCCCTTTTGATTTGATTCAAGTCTTGCAGCATAGTTTGGTTTTCCATGACTTGCCCCTGCCAGGACAAGTCCTTTCATGTGCTGCTTTTGATCTTGGATCCCACTATCCAGGACTGGTACATATTAAACATGTGTGGCATGGGGGCAAAACTCTTCACTAAAGGTCCAATGATGACAAATTCTTGGGTTCCATTGGGTTGTGAAAAGTTCCAAGGTCAACCTGATTGTTGGAGGGTTCCTGTATAGGAGGCCATTGACCTGTACATGAAGTCATGCAAGCGCTCTCGATCTGCAAGCTCTGGTGAGTTGGAGGTAGATGAAGAGTTTGAAGATGAGGATGATCAGTCCAAGAATGAGTTTGACGATTTCAAAAAATGGTTGGACAGTGCGGTTGAATCTCCTATGCCCAGTGATGCCCCTCTGACTGCTGTGGATGAGAAGTGTGGCAAATGTGAGCATTCTCCATGCCAGTGTTTCTTGATTGGAATTAAAAACAACGGTAAGTCAGAGGCATATACTTGAAGGTCTGTTGTAGTGATTGGAACGAAACACATTTTGACTGGTCTGCTTTGCCAGCTGCCAAGGTGCTTCGATCCAACAGCGCGTGCAGGAGCTCCGAGCTCACATTGCCAAGCAGCTTGCGGAGAAGAGGGCTGAAGCGCTTGCAAGTGCAAAGATGCTTTCCTTGATTTGGCTGGGGCCAACGATTGAAAAACATGGACACATAAATAGGGATCTTCATTTTGGAGCCCTGGGCTGAAAACGCTACTCCATGTTCTAATCTAATCTGCCAAAAAGAAAACCTCTTTGGTTCTGAGGAGTCTACCACCTCCTCTGCCGAAAGAAGAAGCTGAACCCCCTGCAGCTTCAGCCAAAGGCTGGCCTGACAAAAAACAATCCCTAAAGGGATTTGGATGAAACCAAGTTCTCATCCTCATGCCAGCCAAACTCTACCATGTCTTTTTGTACAACCGTCACTGATCACCTTACAATGTTGATCCTTGACACCAAATTGATAGCAGGGCTTAGCCAGAGTGATTTAGTTAAATGTCATAAGGAACAAGATTGAGAACATGTCTTTGTAGAGAGGATTTGTTTGTCCCTGGCTAGGCCCTGCACAAGAAGCTCGTAAATCAGGTGTACGTGACACAGATGAGACCCAGCCCTTGGAGAATGAGAATGCCACTCCTGAGATTGCTGCCTTTGACCTGACTATGCCTGTGGATAATGAAACCCAGCCTTACAGCGCGGAGCAAGGGGGACTACCAAAGGTTGGGTGTTAGTGGTAATGTTGTCAATCTTTTTGCTGGCCATGGAAATTAAAATATAGTGGAATGGCTTTAATGTATTATCATTTATCAGTTTTTGTACATTTCACATCTCCACTGAATGCAAAATTTCTCAGACTGGGCCAGGGCCATGGCCCTAATATCATGCATTGACAAATTCAAAATCAAAAAACTGCTCATTGGCATCTGCCTGCAGGTGCTGACTCGCCGGGACCAACTCAAGCTCAAGGAAGAGAAAGTGAAGGCAAAGAAAGAGGAACAGGAGGCCAAGGAGGCTGCAAAGCTTGAGAAAAAGGAGGCGCAGCAAGCAAAAAAGGCTGCCAAGAAGGCAGAACAAGAGGCCAAGAAGCAGGCCAAAGCTGAAGCGAAGGCAAAGGCAAAGGCCAAGGGCAAAAAGGCCTCTGCTGATGCTGAAGCTAAGAGTGGGGAGGTGGAAGTGGAGGAGGAGCAGAACGAAGATCCGGCCCCAAAGCGGAGGAGGCTGAAGCAATGTTCAGCTGATGGTGAAGGTGGTGAAGGTCAGGCTAAGGCTGAGGCTTCGAAGGGTGAGGAAGAAGGGCCGAAACCAAAGGCAAAGGCAAAGGCAAAGCAGGCGGCGCAAGCGAAGCCGAAGCCGAAGCCGAAAGCTAAGGGAAAGGCAAAGGCAACTCCCAAAAGAAAAAAGTCGAGCCAGGAAGCAACAGGGCAGCAAGAGTGACGAGGAGATTGCAAAGGAGAATGAAGGGGAGATGGAGGAGGAGTTGGAAGAACCTGAGGATGACAATGTCAGGAGGAAACTTTTTCATGGTGCCGCAGATGGTGATGAAAGTCCTCACCTGCGGATTGATCCAAAGTCCAAGTCTGGCAATGTCAAGCCGCTTCAGCAACTCTTTGAAGAGGATGTCCCTGCCCGACTGAATGCATCGAGGCCACGGAAGGAGCCTGCTGATGTGGCGGCTGAGGAGGAGGGGGGAGCCAAGAGAAGAAAGAAGCAGGCACTTTCGCCCTTTGCAAAGAAGGAGCAGGGCCGCCGCAAGAAAAAGGAGAAGGAATGCATGGAAGCGACTGTTGAGCTAGATCCTTTGGTCCAAGGGGTCTTTCTCCAGCACATGAAGTTCTGCCGGAACTTGTCGTTCGAGGCATTGAAGGACTACCTCTACGAGAAGCTCCCAAAGAAGCATGGCAACTTCCAGCTCAATCCCTACATGAACAGGCCAGCATGTGGCGTCTTCACCAAGCTCCCAGAGTGGAAGGCAAAGAAGGAGATTGTCTACTTTGGGAAGTGTGGCACTGCCCTGAACAAGAATGCAGCGTGTGTGGTGTCCTATGTCTCTGGTGCTCTGATGGTTCCCTGGCTCAATGGGTTTGCAATGCAAAGCACTGCTGCAACATCATAGCATAGCTCCAATGACTGTCCAACTCAAAGCTGGCACATTTTGAGTGTATCAGGTCTGGGTAATATCACTTCCCCTGCCAGTTCTTATCTTTTCCATGGCCCAGCACATATGACAACGATACCGGTACCCATTGAACTTAGGCTGCGTGGATGGCAAACCTGCCCATTGAGGATGTTCAGGCTTGGGAAGATCCTATGGGCAAGGTCTCTCAAAAGGCCATGTTTTTCCGATACAATGGGAATGTGGCAGCTTCCCAATTCAAATGAATACTCTGCTGGAGGATGCTGTCTCATTCTGTAGGGTCTCTTGGGTTCACCATCCATTGTTCAATGGTAAAACGTTGTAAATCTGACTAGGCATGTGCCTGGTTTTCACAACTGCGTAAATAGTGAATTGAACTATTTAGGTCAGCAGGTCAATGGAAACTGCAAACCAGTATCTGCATACGCTCCAGCTAGAGGATTCTTAGATCTTGAAACTAGTGTCGTGGTTTGGCTTAGCTTTTGGACATGGGATGTACAGGTAGGTACTGCGGGCATGGCGGAGGGTTCATGCATTTTGGAAAAGGAACAGAGTGACAACAAAAAATCTCTTGTCTTTGCTCTGTCAAGTCCATCAGCTAACTCCGTTGATTTGTTTCCATGGAACTGGTGCCTTGGCCAAGCCTTCCTGTATGATTGTGTGGCCCATACCACTATACACAAATTAGAGTGGGGGCCTGTCCAGAGATGCCAACCTAAGGTTGTGGGGAAAACCTCACGAATCTTGCGACCTGACCGCGGGGAAAAGGAACCAGCTTCCAATCTGGGGTTGTTTTGATGATGGAGACCTGAAAGTCATGAACAACAAATATAATCTTGGAACTGTTGATGGATGGAAAGGGTTTGAATTGTTGGGGTAGCCATGAGTAGCCTATCAAATGATCAATAGTGGACATATCACCAGGGGTAGTGAGTTGTCCCCCTTCACTTGCTTTGTGATGGCCCTTTCTGTTGCCCATGCCTGTCTCTACAAGCCCCTTCCCTTCCAGCCAATCCAAATCCGGCCCAGCTGCACTGGCTGAGGCTTAACCTTGGCATGGATGCATGCCTGGCCTCAGGGGCAACAAGTGGGCTGTGAAGAAGGGATGGCTGAAAGAAGCGTCAGGTCTGCTGGCCATGTTTGGGGAACCAGAAACTCGCATTTATCTGGCACCCAAACGTGGGTGCCAGATGGACTTGAAGATATATGTGCATGCATGAATATATATTATATGTAGCTCAACCATATCCACTAAAGACTTGTAGCTCCTGATTGTTGCAATGACCTGACGGATTTGTATTTATAAATCTTGAGATTCCAAACATTCGAGAATTGTAGTGGGAGACGTGTCAGATCTCACTTCAGCTGTGGTGCATTGAAGTGCTTGGTGTTGCAGCTTGGTCGTTGGTGTGGACGTGACTCCTCAAGCAAAGAATGGCTCATATGGCATGGCAATCTGTCAACTTGAGCATCATGGATCCCTCACCATGGAACCAGTCATGGAACCATAGTGTGTTCAATTTGTGGTTGGGGACTTTGCTCTGTATTATCTTGGGGTGGGCTGTGAAGATGGCATGGTCTCCGGAGTTTGTGAACAAGTTGGCATGGCGACTCCGGGCCCTGGGTGCCCCCAAGGTGCTTTGATGTCTTGTGTATACCACAATGCCAACAAGTTGAAGGATTGTGCTGCATGTAAACCTTTAGTAATCCACTAGACCAGAAACATGTTCTGGTCTTGATGATGCAGGTGCTTCTTTTTGCAGTTTTACTTCTGACTTGGACCGACCTCCCTTCAACCAGTTGGCAGGACCCAAATTTGGAGTACATGCTAACTAAAATTTGACAAACAGCTCCAGTGCATTACATGGATGCATAAAAGGTTGGGCTATGGGTTGCAACCCTCAAAACCACTGAAGTGTGGACGCTGTTGCAGGACCAAAGCCCCTTCTCGTTTGTGGAAGTCTTTGCGGGAAAGGCTGAAGCAACACGGATGTTTCGTTGTGCTGACTACCGATCTGCCAAACTAGACATCCTCTATATGGAATCTTCACCGGGACGCCAAAACCCTATGGACCTTTGTTCAGCGGCAGGTTTTGCGAACCTAGGCCAAATGGAGCCACTAAAACTTAGTCTCAATGCTTGCTGCATGAGCATCCTTTAGGACCTGTTTTCATGCTCTTGGCAAGGACTGCGCTTGCTGTCATTATGAGAGGAGATTATGAAGAAGGGTGGATGGCCTTCTTTGGACTCAAATGTTCAACATGGACATCGGTCAATGCTGGGACATCCAGTAGGTCAGCCTGTAGCTCTGTTGGGAACACTGAATTTGCTTCCGTAAGGGATGGCAACTGCCTTGGAAGTCGGAACTTAGCAAGCATTCATTTTGTTATCTAATTTGTTTACCTACTATTTTGCAGAACCAGGTTGGTAATCAGCTTCTGTCACTGTGTAGTCTCTTGGCTAGCGAATTCTCCCTGGGCATGAGTCAGGATGATTCTATTGATGATGGTGGCAGTGTGCCTGAATGCCTGCATTGTGTTGGAGCAACCCTATTCATCCTTCTTTGAGTTCTACCCCAGATTCAGGGAGCTGGTATGCATGCTACAAAGTATTTCGGGTCAAACTGCGGTTCTTTGGCATCCAAAGGTTCTGCCGAGTTTCGATTGTTCGAGGGACCTGAACGACCATTCATAGGCAACCTCAACTGGCCATATGCAAGGGAGCCTTTGTAGTTAGAGTGGTTCCTGTGTGTGTGACCACAGTCAACTTAAGGAAACATACATTGTCCATTGAACTTGCTGGTATGGTCAGTTTGAAGACCATACAAAGAGACAATCAGGTTCATCTGGATACCATTTTAGTGAACATTTGTCTTGGTGGTGGCAGGGAGGGTTCTTCTAGCCGTGGTGCAAGGAATGTTCTTTCCAAACACTCTGGTTGATTGTTTTGGTGGGAATGGCCATGTTGTGGAAGAGGGTCATGGTTTCCTGATGCCAAAAAACCACTGTTGAGGAAATGTTTTGCTTTTGGGAGCCAAGTTGGTGACTTATCCTGGCGCTGCCTACCCCAGGTACACAAGACCTCGTGGTACATGCTGCACTATGGTGGCAAGACCCCGAAGAGGCACTATGCCTTTTCAAACAGCAGGCATGTGGCAAAGCTGAACGCTGGAAAGCTGACGGGGTGGGCCAAGCGGAAACGGGCTCTTGAGTCTTTGGGGCAAGGCACCAAGCTGGTTGACAAGTACGTGGATTCCCAAGGGAAAGCTAGGTGGAAAGGCAACAAGGAACTTCGTGGAAGTGAGTTCTTGGGCTTAATTGTGTAAAAGCGTTGCTCTGACTTGTGCATGGGTGGACAGCCCAACTTAGTTGTTGCTATTGACCCCCCATTTGGATTGCACAGTGTGGTTCAACACTGCGGATGGCCCTTCAGCTTCAAAAAGTCCCCAGATTCTGTCTATATATGTTCAATTGTGGTGGGCTTTTAATCTTCTATCCTTGTGGGTGTCTGCACTTGGCCAAAGAGAATCCAATTTGCCCAAGCGGCCCAGGAACTATCCGGCAAAGTTTGGCTGCAAATTGGTAGAGCTGTTTGACCTCATGAAAGCGGAGAAGAGTGGACTGCCCGAGCTTCCATCTGATCTCCCTTCAACTGAGGAAATCTTTGAAAGCATGACGTTTGAAGATAATTGGTCTGAGTCCTGGGTAGTGGAGGTTTGCCATTATTTACGAGGGGGTAAGCATTTGCGGATTCCCCCAAGCTTTGTAAAGCTACTGCCAAAAAGGCTGTAAGCTTTTATGGCACGGTGCATATAGTTGTACTGTTGTTGTTCGGGCCAGAAAATCACAACATGACTCTTAAGAAGAACAATATTGTTTCATACCGTTCGGAACATCAATTTAGAGTTTTCTACCCATAATTCAGCGTAATCGTAATCCAACGTAATTCATCGTAATTACACCCATAATCAGAAGTAAATTTACCTATGTTTTTAGTCAAAAAAACATAGGTTTTGGGGTCGTAACTCGTAATGTCGCGTAATCCACCGTAACAAAGCCGTAATCAAAATGTAAAATACCCATAATTTACTAGCGTAATTTACCCATAATTTGGAGGCGCGTAATTTTACCGTAATTTACCCATAATTTGGCGTAATATACCCATAATTTTTTATGGGTATATTTGCTAAAAACCTAGGTTTTTTGATGTGTTTTTCATAACTTGTATTATAAGGTTTTATGAGATTTTATATGATTTTTTCAACATCTAACATGGTTTTGTGTGATTGTGACTGGGGCCTGAGCTTTTGACAACAGTCTCTAATGAAACAGCAAAAGTTGATTGCAGAAATTCATCGGGTTTGCTGCATTGTGGTGCATCCCAATTGGCACTCTTGAACAGTGGAACCGTGCTTTGAGAAAACAGTGGCGTCACTGCTGAAATCCTGCACTGAAAGCATGGTTGAATCTCTGGCAACACCGGGCTAACATTGGTTCACATGAGCTTGATTGTCGAGTGTTTTTGGCTTTTTGGAAAAGATTTCCAAAACAGGTGTTAGGCGGAACTGCTCCACATGAGCTTTGGTCGTCCTGCGTCGTTGCACACCATGGTGTCCCGGACCAATTCCACCAGTGAACTTGGTCGTGGCCTATCACATATCCTTTTGGATGCACAGCTTGATCAGTTGCCGACTGATTTGGCATCCCTTGAGGATGGGTCTGGGAATGGGAATGGGGCACTGTTTGCAAAACAAAGAATGGCTGGACCTATCAGTGCTAAATCCAGAGTCTCCCATGCGCCCTCCAGGAGCTTGACAAGTCATTGGCAGACATGGAGGCATTGGAATTATCCGTGGGGGGCTCATAGCTGGATGTGGTTCCACTTGATTGTTGGAAGACAATAAATATATAGTGTTGTTCAGTTCAGGGGTGCCCAACTCTTTGTTGAGAATGGGCTGGAGTCCTACAGGTGTTGAATTGATCAATGGCTTGGGTGAACACTGTAGTGATTGTGGATAGATGCTCTAGGGGTTTAGAGGGGCACTCCATCCCAAAGCAGCGCTTCTTCCGTCTTCAAGCCAAGCTGCATGAGGCTGCGGCTCTGAAGCAGCTGGAGATGCAATTGCAGGTTGCCAGACTGCATCTCTATCCTTGATTGTGACAACCAAACATCACTGACCACACCAGGTAATGGGAGTTGAGTGCCATGGAATGAAATCACTCTCACTACCTTGGATGTTGGGTGGATAGGGGTAGTAGAATGGGTCAGTCACTCTGCCTGGCTTGCTTGCTCAGGCTTCTCCTCAGCAGAGTGGGTTGCCTATGGAGGTGGATGAGACACAGCCCGCAACGGAATCCCAGGTTAGAGTGTCGTTGGGCAGTGGAGATAGGGAGGGTGTCACTTCTGCAAGCCCAGCATCCCCATCATCGACTTTACCATCTTCTGCGTCGCAAGCTGCGGTCCTTGGGCAACATGGTACAGCTTCACCCTAGTGTGGTTCCTTTTTTCACAACACAAGTATGGGAGTCAGAATGCGCGTGGAACATTGCAAGCCTGTCAAAACATTTTCCATGAAACATAAGAGGTTGCACTGTTGGCCCAGTACTGCGCTATATGGTCTTGCCTTGCTTGTAAGGTTCAACTTCGTATCAAGGCGCTGTGTGAAAGGGGTGACCTGGATCCATCTACCGCTGCCCTGATTCTTGGGCAGGATGCTCCTGATGTTGCGCAGGATGAAAACGAAAAGAAACGCAAGAAGGCGGAGGCTGTTGAACCCCCAGCCACAGGGGATGCATCGCACCCTGATGGAGAACCTGGTGAATCCCTAGATGTTTTCCTGGAACGTGCAAAAAAGATCAAACTGGCTTCTTGACTGATTTGGTTTGTTTTTACCATTTATCATTAATTGGTATATGAGTCATCTGAGGTTTCCCATTTAGAGGTCCTTGGGGTATGGCATGTGTTCCTTCAAACTTCTTCCCACATGAACTCTGAGGCAGATGATGCACTCAAGGCCAAGTTGAGACGGCTATGTCAGGAAAACAAGCATGGCAAGCTGCAGGTTCCTTCTTGGTTGCATGAGATGTGGAAGACTGGCGACAAAATGCAGCTTGCACGTCAGTTTGAAGCATGCAACTTTGACAAGGAGACCCTCTAATAGGTTCCATAGCTGAGCGTCGGAAAACCATCAGTGCAGAACTTGTTCCAATCTCCAATCCAGTGTATGTTGCCTGGCAGGAACGGTTCATCAAGTTTAAGCAGACAACTTACATGAAGAGTAAAAAGGACCTTGCTGATGTATCCGTTGGATGGTACAGTAAGGAGGATATGGTCAAGGTGCTGAAATGGAATGCGATTCTTTTCTGCAACATGCGCATGTGAGTGAGTATTGCAACAGTGTTGAATTCACTTTTTTGGAACGTGTGACTACTTCTTGGGGAAACATGTTTTTTGTAAGCTCTGAGGAAAAAGGTGGCCGGTGCCATCAAGTGCTGCGAGCAAGATAAAAACAATTTGGTGAGGCTGGGGTACTGAAGTTGAACCACTGTAATTATATATTTGAAGTAAACTTGATTTACTGGTTGTCCAGTAGCAGTGTACAAACACGCTGTGGTATATATGTTGGAAGTGCTTCGACATAGTATATACATGTATGTCCCAAAAATAGATTCAGATTGGTGTTTCATTTCCTAGCCCTTCCAGCAGGCATTGCAAATATGGGGGCGAGGATGAGTACTACATTGAGGTGCGTGAGACAGGAAACCGCCAGCAGGAGAGTACGCTTATGGAGCAAATTGTTGAAACAATCCAGGACCGACAATGCTTAACTGTCACCAAGTGTCATAGGATCTCTTCAGCTTGAACTGCTAGATGCCAGGGTTGCCCAGCAATGTCCAACATTGCCATGCCTGGCAGGAAGATGGTGGGCCATCTCTGGGGCCTGTTGATGCTAAGGGGGCTGAACTGATGCAAACGCGTGCTAGGGCGATGTCTGGTGCTGCAGTTGCTGCCACCAGTGAGGTGGGATAATATTATGCACACATGGTGTCCATCTTACAGGTCTTGCAAACTGCCCTTTCCAATGTGGTGTGGGTGGGTCAATGACATGGATCTTTAAACAACCCATTTGGATTGAGATGAAACATTGGATTTCTCATGCGTGAGGCTGCTCGGGCAAAGGAAGTCTTCGCCAAACATGTTGAATCAGTGCTGGCAAAGGCTGCCAAGATCAGGTCATTGGTGAGTGATCTCCAGAAAAACTACAATGAAGACATGACTGCAAGAAAGTTTCTAGACAGCAAGCCTGCAGCTTCCTTCATAAATATGTTTTGAACATGTCTTGCATTCACCGGTTGATCTGCATTGGCCTTGACCGAATCCAATGCCCAGGGCTGTGGTGCAGCTCAATGCGGATCTGAACGTCCTGGATGGTGAGTACAACAAGCTATCGGAGCATGTGGCACAGGGTGAAAGGGATGACCACAACCAAGCGTAGCTCAACAGCACATGTTTTCAATTGGATGACACTTAAGAAATTGCTGATTGTTTACAAACTGTTTTGTTCTGTTGGCAGACTCGACCGTGCGCTGTTAAGTTTGGAGGTGGAGTCAAGCTGCTGAGAAAATGATGAAGGCTTCCACATTTGTGTGCCTAGGATGCACACTTAGTCATCTCAGTCAACCTTGCCCCAACCCAACAATTTTGAGCACATGGCCAGGTGCACGAAAGTTGCCCAGAATGAAGCCAAGATTCGGCCTGGACCTCAAAATTCTTTTTGGTCAGCTTTGATCTCCAGCAGGGCATGGATTGACACTGGATGTCCTTGGCAAGACCCCCATCCATGTCCCACAAGTTGGACTATAGTCAGTCAACTGTGTCTGGAAATCGTCACACTGCCCTAGCCCAGGTCTGCCAAGCGCCATTTTCAGAAGGTCAAGAAGGATGACAATGCTGAAGTGGAACGCAAGTGAGCTCTTCTTATGGTTTGGGGTTGGTATTGACAGCCCTCTTGAGAGATATCTTGAGCTAGAGGGATTGTTCATACGGAAGTTTGCCGGGAGGGGTTGCGTTACCTGGATGCAATCCAAATTCATGGACCATGTGCCTTTGCTCTGGTGCTGCAAGATCTCTATAATGCATTGAAAAAAAGGACCCCAAAAGTGGTTGAATAGCAACAGGTCATACATGCAGTTGGTACATGCTGATACATCCATGCACTCAAGAGCACCGTTGATGGCATAGGAGTTTCTTAGCTGCCAATCAGGCTTCAATTTGGAGCCATGTGTGATGGTGAAAAAACACTATGACATGTTTGCGCAATGTCAGCCATTGGATCTGTTCCATGCTCCCCTCACAACCATTTCTGGGTCAATCTGGCTGCCAGGTCTCGTTGGGAAGTCAGCCAAGCGCTTTGCGGCCAACGTTGGTGAGGGGGCCATGAGCTCAGACTTTGGGCTGGGGCTCACTAGAGAAATTGATCCCTGTCCATGGTGCCCGCGTCAAAGGTGAGGTGTTGTGGCTCTGGCCAGGATAGGGAGTACAAGATTCTTGGAAAATTAACAATTTATAACACTTGCAAATATGTTTGCAGGCTTGAGAGAAACAAGCATCAGGGATATAATATTGTGGTTTGTGGTTTCCCGTCCAACTATACAACTTGAATTCAACAAGCATCTCAAACAACACAGCTTTGGCCGGGCTTACTGTGCAATGGAAGATTCGGATGATGAGCTCATAGAACTCTTGAGCTGTCACCGGCCAGTTTCTTGCCCTATTAAATTTGCATGTTTGAGTGGCAGTAATGGCCAGAGTGTAGCTAGTACATGTGGACTTATCCTGTTGTGTGCATGGTCTAACTAGTATGGAGGTATGCCTATCCTACTGGTCTACTTACCTACCTACCTACCTACCTACCTACCTGAGGCCTCTTTGGGCCCCTATGCTTGGGAATACAAACGGGTGAAAGCCGTGCGATCATATGCAAAGCCCCTTGCAGAACCAGAACTGGAGTTGGCTTACACTTGCTTGCCGCTTGAGAATGGCAGTGATTGGGGTGGTCAAGTCAAACCTGCAGGTTCACTTATGTTTGAGGATCGCTACCTGCAATATGAAGATCTTAGATGCCTTCCCAGGTCACAAGATGTATTTCGGAAAATTGAAATGGATTCTAGCTTGTTGATGACGCTGCCGAAACCAGGGGCTACATCTGGATTGGTCCTACAACATTCCATCAACACCTTTGAGCGCCTCCTATTGGAAAACAAACCGATGACTTTCAAATTTGGTTTCTGCCATGATGCAGCGGTCAGGTGGCATAATGCCAAATTTGGCTACAAACATTCAAGAGAGAAGTTTGACTACATGCTTGTCCTCTATGCAGCTTCAAACCCGCATGGCCCAGCTTTCCTTGAAGCTGCACTGATTGAGAGGTTTTCAAGTGACCTGTTTGCATGGCTAGAGTTTCAAAATTAATGCCCTGTTGCTTGTTGTTGGGGTGACTGATCATTGCTGGGAAAGTTGCTTCCCTGCGTGTGTGATAGACTGTGGGGTTTTCTGGAACTAAGGCATCCAGGGATGTAAGAATGAACGACGTGGTGGTGATAGTGTGAAAGATGTTGACAGTGGTCCATATCTGACGTATGTTGTGTACAAGTCATGGAAACGGCCAAGCATGCAAGTGCGAAGCGCGGCTATGGCCTGAATGGTTTCCTTTTCTGAACCTGGTGTTTCAACGAACCATTTTCCAACCAATTCAAATTGTTGCATGTGCTGTTTTTTAGACAGCGAATTGCCATCATAATTCATGTGATGCTGGTGTGGCGGTGGGAAAATGTGTTATGTTGCATTTTGTTGGTGTGTGATGAAGTCAGTGATTCATGTTGCACTGTTGCAAGTTTGGTGTCAGATTTGTGTGACCAAGATTACAGTATCTAATTTAATGAACAGCTTGTAACATGGTTCTGGAGCATGAGGCTTCTTCTTGCAAGTATGTTTTTGTTGTGCGCCCTTGCCCCCGGTTTGCTGAGGCCAGCTGTGTCAGCCAGATCAAGACTGCTGCAGCGGTGGCCCATGACATGGGTGAAGAGAGGGCCATTAGCACTGGGGTCCAACTGTGGGCAAAGTGTGGCCTCCAGAATTCTGAAAGGGATGTTCACCGTGTGTTGAAAAAACAAAAAATCAAGTTGGACATACCTGTAGAGACAATGTCCTGTGATGGTGTGGACCTACCATGGATTTCGCCGGAATCATGGCTGAAGTTTATTGTGAAGAATGGCCTGTGGCCTGTGTTGGCGGGGTGTAACCTTCATGACTATGGTGGTGCCTGCTGCAATTGGTCAGAGTTCTGGCGTTTGTTTGAGTTGACAAATCCCAATTTTGAGCTCTTCAACATTCTGGGTGATTCAGACATTGACCTTTCCCGTACTGCAGCATTTTGTTTGCATGGAGATGAAGGACGCACATTGAAGCACTCAGCTCTTATGGTGTGTTCTCTTCAGAGTGCACTGGGGCGTGGATTTGATGAGAAGAGGGTTGGTGGGCATGATCCTGACTCAGCCAACCTTCGGGTGAACTATGCTGGACACTCGTTCACTACACGGTATGTCCTGCACACCTTGCCAAAGTCTGCGTATGATGACACACCCGAGGTTTTCCATGAGGCCGTTACTCACATTGCAAGGTCACTTAGCAATTGTCTACGTGTTGGCTTTCTGGATGAAACAACTGGGAACAGGTTTCGCATAGTGCTTATTGCGGTCAAAGGTGATGCACCCTTCTTAGGGAAAGTTGCCCACTTTTACCGTGGATACAACACTTCAGCAAAGCGGGGTGAAGAAAGAGGCCAGCCGAAAGGCATTTGTCCATATTGCTTGGCAGGGACCAGATCATTTCCGGCTGAGGAGCTGGCCACACTGCAACCAGCGTGGAGGGTCACAGAGGGGGTGAAGCTTCCATGGGTTCGCACTCCGTCGCTTGTGAAGTACCTTTTGCATGATCGCTCAAACCCAGCTAGTCTGTTTAAGTCGGACATTTGGCATATGGTCCATTTGGGGTTTGGACGTTCATTCATTGCAAGCGTGGTTCAATTGGTCTTACAGGTGTTACCTCTTGCAAACCTGGACCTGAAATGGGACTTTTTGACTGAGGACTATCTTTCTTGGTGTTCGACAAACCGGAAGCAAGCTCATGTGTCGAAGATTACACCGTACCTCATGAGCTACAATGATTCCTCTGGAGCAATGGGGAACTGGCACAAGGGAGCATTGACAGCAAATTTTGGTTTGTGGCTTGTGGACCTGCTAGGAAAGGTTTGTGCTGATCGTGATCGTTTTCTTGTCAAATGTCGTATGGCGACGTACAGGATGAACGCTTTATTCAGTACATTGTATCGAGCAGGTGCATTTTTGACTGCAAATGAGTGTGCGCATGTCAGTCAGCAAGGCTTGAGCTTTCTCTCGGTATATTCGCAAATGGCTGAAGCGCAATTCCAGTTGGGCCGACAGTGGTTGTTTCCACTTTACCCCAAGCTTCATGTGTTTCATCATGTGATGCTGCAAGTGCGGTCTGATGGAGTTCAGGTCTCAGCAGCAGTCAACCCGTTGCTATTTGGATGCCAGATAGACGAAGATTGTATCGGCAAGGCTTCGAGGCTATCCAGGCGTGTGAATATAAGACAAGTTGCGACACGTTCCCTAGATCGGTATTTGGTTGCTGCGCATGTAGCGTTCTCAAAGGCTGGCCTTTTGTCTTAGAAAAGTGTGCAGATGAATCTGGGATGGGATGTGGGTGTCGAAACGGTACCAGACCTTTTTTGTGCGGTTTGTTTGTGTTGATGGGGTTGCTTATTTGTTTAGCTGTGGCATCAACCAATTCCAAGACCATTGGATTCCTACCAATGTCATATGTGATGATGGCCTCCCACAAGAAACCTATGTTTTTTAATATAAACCTAGTGTTTTTTCTTCCACCCAAAAAAAAAGAAGGTAAAGGATTCTCTAGGTACATATACACGTATATGCCTCATATAGCTGACCTAAAGGATCTAAAAGCTTCAGCCCCAGGACTTTTCAGACTCCAAATCTGCTGCCACAGCTCAGCTCCGCGATGGAGCGGGGGTTCCGGTAGAGCTGCTTCCGCTCCCGAGCGAGGCGGTCCTGCTCCTGGTTCGACGCGCGCCGAGTCCCTGTCGCACCTGATCTGAAGGTCTCTTAGATGGGAAGGTTCCACCAAAAGGAGGTTTGCTGAATGGGGGTGATGGACCTGGCGCATCCTGTGCCATGCATATGGTCATCTGTTCATAGTCTTTTGGGGACATGGATCCTCATGGATCTGAGTGGCCAGTGCCCGCCCAAATGCCTCCTGTTCACGCTTGTGCCGCTCTTCCTCATCCTTTTCCTCGGCATCTGCACACGACGGAAACGAAGATCCAACGACGAACATGTAGACGAATGGTTGGTTCCCCTGGATGTCCTTCTGGCCACGGGCACCTCTGTAGAAGTAGCTCCACAATGAGTGAGGCTAGCACCTGTCCCTGTCAGGTGAGTCGGGTGAAGCTCTGACTGAAGTGATGGGTCCCCAAGCTGTAGCCGATCCCATGAAGCCCAGCGGCTCGCCGTAGCCGCGAGCCCGCCCGCTGTGCGGCTGTGGCCCGCCGCTGCTCCAGCTGCTTCTCACACGAAGCCTCAGGGGTATGCCAAATCAGCGTCATACTGAGAAGGAGGGACGCCACACCCATTCTCACCCGTTTGATGCAAGTTTTAGGATGTTTTGAGGCAGGTAGTTGGAGTGTTCTGATTGACCACTGGGTTTGACATGGTTGTCACCAGGGTAGACCACATGGAGAATCCTCAATGTGCTCTTCAAGCATCTTCTGATGCATTCAGGCCCCAAGGAGAACCCAACTGGGAGAGATCTACATGACTCATTTGACCCCCTATGCAGCCTATGCAGATGGATTATGAGATCCAGGTGACCCGTATTTCATGAGTCATTGCAAGTCCTGGGAAGCTGGGATAGATCTAAATGAGTTGACCACGCCACCTGCGCTACAGTGCTAAGTTTGAAAGAGAACCCACTCTCTAAGAACTGAACCACTGGTCACTATGACACAGCTGGCCGCAGCTGGCAGCTTAAACTCAACAGGGGTTCACGATCCAAATATGGGGGGGCGTAATCTTACAAAGGAGAAACACCTGTTTCTTCAATTCTGCAGCTTCATGTTCTGGCCCTCTTCGGCCTGATGCGATGCCATGGCTGTCGTCCAAACAGCTCAATACTTCCAGATCTGCCCCCAGTCGCACCGTCGAGAGCATAGCTGGAGGCATCTCCCCACGCGACAGGACCCACGACCCGGTTCTCCCACCAGCCAAGAGAGGTTGAGAAACCTGAACTAGGACCCTGGTACATATATGGGATGGGCGAAAAGAAGGCTGTTTCACCCCAGGTCCCAAGGGTGGGTGGGGATAGCTCGAAGTCAAGTGATATTCATATATATGTATCTATGTATTTCTTGGGGTCAGTCGTCATGTGTCCTGAACGCCCTGGACTCGACCGGACCCGCCTGGCGCTCCTCACGTTCCAAGCGCTGCAGGGCCTCCCGGTTCTTCGCCTGGGTCTCCTGGGTCGATCGAGAGGTCGAACCGGCCAAAGAAGGTGCGTTCGTCACGTGTCACTGTGTGTCGGGTTCCTGTCACTTGCTTACATGTCACATGTCATTGTCAGGCATCTTCTTGGGCATCTTGCCAATTATATATTATATATACATCTATTTGGTGCCTTCTTCCTTCCAGTCAAGAGACACAGGTGCCGGGCATCCATCGGGGTTTGCCCTGGCACCTCATTCACATCCTTCACCCTAATACAAATAACATCAAACAACCAATTCACCATATTTTTTTAAACCAGAAAACGATCATATGTGTTCACATATATGGATGAACAATTCAGAATTCAGCCGCCTCCGGCAGCCGAAGAAACGCTGCCCTCTCCTGCTTCCGCCGCTCCTCCGAGCGCTGCCGGAGCCTCTCCTGCGCCTTCGGTCCACGGCTCCCCGAGCACGGTGGGGTCCGGTGGAACCAAAGCAACCTATAGGCATAATAGGCATGCATATTTGTAGGGCTGGCCCATACCCTCAGGTTCGGTGGTTAGACCCCCCTGGCACCCACCTTAAACCACCTTCGAAACGGAGGTAGTTGGAGCCGGAGCCCTAGGGTATATATATATATATACGTGGAGTGTCCAAGGCACTGGAGGAACACTCTGTCACTCTGTACTGAAGTAAAGAGGGTCTAAAGTGGCGCTGAAGGTTTCAATAACCAGGCCACCAATGCATTGGCATCTCCTACCGGACGCCAACTGGACGCCAATCGAAACCAGGTCGTCGGAATCGACCTGCGTTCACGATCGGAATTGAAGGACCTGGAAACACGTACGGTACGGACACTCCAGTTCGTACTCTAGATAATGGGACACGACCCTTTATATTAACCGATGTTTTAATAAAATACATTTTAACATTTTATGATGTGGCATGTATACTTGTACCTATTGAATTGCTGAAGTACTTTCAGACTCCAGGTATCTGTGAAAGATTCAACTCGATCAGTAACCTTTAAAGAGCTCTTGCTTTTGCCACTGCCGTTTATTTTGCCACTCAGTTCATCCGCCATCCATATGAGTTCCACATGACTTTTGAGTGTTCTTTCATCGCCTGTCTTGGTCACAGTCGAACCTTCCCCGTGTCACAGAACTCCGTTTGGGTCTCCGTTCCACATGTGATGTGAGTGGCCTTGCGCTGCAAGTGCTCTCCGATCTGGTCATTCTCTTTGTCCTGCTCGTATTCGGCTTCCAGCTTCCTGGAGCAAAACCCTTCCAAGCAGCTCCCCCCTCCCAGTCGCAAGGTACATTGGAGGCGAAGGGCCAATTCATGGAGGATGGACATGGTTCCCATCTGCATCCCAAACAAGGGTTGGTGTGGAGTCTGACTAAAAGCAAAACTTTCTGCAAAGGAACCAAGAAACTTACACACACACACTGGGGTTGACAAAGACCTGGAACACCATATACGTATATATTTTATATGTATATAATATGGCTTCAAATTTGAAGGCTAGCTTGGATGTTTGTGGTGAGTCATGGGCAGTCATAGACAGCAGGAACTCAGATCCATTCATGCGTTGGGTCCGGCCACAGCAGGAAAGCCGTCGACATCGACGGAACATGTGCCATGACGTCAGCTTTGGCGCTTGAGCTGCTTGAGCCAAGCTGCTGCATAGATTCTTCCTCTTCTTTCTTTGCCATCTCCTCGCCATGCACGGAAGACCCATGTCGTGCACACCCGGACCGACTCCGGACCGACGAGCGCACGAGCGAGCTGGCTCCGGCCCGCCTGGCATCCGCTGGCACCCATCCTCCAACGAGGAAGCCCTTGTTCGGCCGACACTAAAGCGAATGTTCGTGTGGTGCAGATGTTGTCTTCGATTTGGTTGTGTTCTGAGATGTTCTGAGAAAGCCCGGACAGCCTCGCTTTCAGCGAGGCTGCCGTTTTGTTAGGTGAAATGTTTTGGAACACCACCAAAGGAACAGCACTAAGCATCAAGGACCCTCTTTGAGGTGTGAAGGTGAGGGTCCAAACCTCCGCTGTGCAAGGAGGGTCAAAACCGGGATCAACGGGTCCGACCTCATGGTTAGGGAGATCATTCCAAAGGGCTCAGGATGGCCCCTGCCCACCGACCCTTTCCCACGTCTGGATAAATCAATTCTCCAAAGTCTGTCGAACCCACACGGAGAGAGATATGGTGGACACTGGGTTGATGAATGCCTTCAAGACCTCATGCTCAAACAGGAGCCTTCAAAAACACTAACAACAAATACAAAAAAAAGCAATAAAAAGGCATCGCTTTCGCCAGCGGTGGTTTGAGGATCATGTTGCTCTTCAGGATGCTGCTATGGAGCGGTGCCAGGCTCTCCAACCCCAACTTCGTATGAACAAGTTCTCGCTCATCCACTCCTGCTTCTTCTTCTGGATCAACCGCTTTTTCGCAGCCTCCATGGCTTCTGAAGCCTTCTGCTGCGCCTCCTCCGTGGCTTTCCCCTTCTCCTCCTTCTGCGCCCTGATGAGCCGATTGCAGTGGGCACAGCGGCGCAGCAAGAACATCACCCCGCAAGAACATCAACCCAGACACACGGGCAATGTGCCTAGACTTCGATGAGGTGGAGGTACGACTTTGTCGGGGTAACCCAGGCAAGGAAGCCTGGCCCTAAATTTGCAGGCCAGTCACAATTCCTGGTCCCTCTTTTCTTTGGCCTTCTCTTTTTCGGCCTTTATCCGAGCCTGGCCAGGGGAAGCGGGACGTCTGAGGTGCACGCCGAAATGTTCAGCACCGATGATCAGCTTTCTCTAAGCGACAAATCCCTATGCCTGTATATCAACCCGTTCGGAACAGCTTGTCTGCAAATGAGCTGAACTTGCTGGCTTCAGCCTTGCAGGTGGTAGGTAGGGAGATGTAGGGAGCGAGCTGTTGCTGTTGGGGGCCCTATAGACTATATAGAAAACACATGAACACATGAAAATAGGACATGACATGGCCCAGTTAAAAAAGAAACAGGTGCGTAGTACGACTGCACCCATTTTCTGCGGTATGTACAGGTTGACTCCACATGGAATGCCGGATGATTCTGGACACCAGGCAAAACACTCGCAGGCTTGGACTGTGACTACACCCACGTCCCCACCCGGTGCAGGCTCTGTTCGCCGGAAAACGGGCACAGTGCACGGTGCTTCGGCTGACTTGACCTAGCCGTTGCACAGAAATCTTCTTGACCGAGCTTCAAGGAGCACTTCTGAAACTACCTAGAGAGGTTAGTTGATCATCCCTTTTTCGCCTATCCCATGTGCACTACCAAAAAGGGTCCCACTTCAGGTCTCAAAAAAACCTCTCTTGGTAGCTTGTGAGATTAGGTCGATGACAGTTCTTGATGATGAGGATGAGGATGAGGATGAGGATGAGGATGAGGATGAGGATGAGGATGAGGATGA